TATACGCACACACACACACTACACCCACACCACACACACATACACACACACATACACACACACACATATATATATATACATATATATAAATATATATATATATATATATTTATATATATATATAATGTTATGTGTCTGTATATCATAGATTTGGTGCTCGACATACCTATGTGTGCAAATAATGGCAAATATTTTTTTGGAAACGAATACAAATATCTACACAAATTGTCTAATTGTACAATAGTGGAAGAAGCGTATCGATTTCCATCAATTCACTACTACGGGTATTCACACACCATGCATCTGAATTCTGAAATTCATAGACGTGCATCTGTCTATTTGGATTTTCTGAAAACAGCACAATTCATGCATAAATTTCGTAATATATCGAATCTGTCACATATAAACTGATCTTATCGACAGCGACAACTATGAAAGTAGTATACTAAGTCAGCATCCCCCCAGTTGCCCTTCCAATGACATCTAACAATGTTCACATACTTGTCAGTGTGCTTCAGGCCATATCCATTCAACGTCGTGGAATCGTCTGCCAATTGCTGGTCGCCTCTGAACACCCTCATCTTTTCCTGTTCCACCCCTGAATCACCTTCCAGAATGAGCTTCAGTATACCCAGTTCCATATCTCCGCCCAGTTCAAGCTTGAACTCTTGCTGGAGACTCGGAACGTGTACAGTCACTATCATTTTGTTATAGAATGTGTCTCAGTATGTGTGCATATACCATTCCTTATATATTGTCGACAATACTTTATATTAAAATATCAAAAAGAAGTATGACAAAGGCAAACGTATAATACAAAGCAATAGATGATAAGAGGTGTACCGAACTTAAAGTCTCTGATTTTGGCGCTCATTTTTGTTCTATTATTAAGATCCAATAGAATCGTAGGCAAATGCCTTTTTTGCGCTTGTCGTTATGGTGCTTAACATCTATTGATCGAATGCGGTATTCTGCCGAGATCTGAAGTGAATGAATGGTTGTGACAGGTGAGTATGTAGCGGGAAGGGAACATCGTGAATCGTGATGTTCTTCGTTACAAGCTTCCTCCCAGTGGCAACTTCTCGTTTCTCGACTTCAGTATTATGCTCTTTTTAAATATGTTCAATATGATAAATGAAAGGCTTATATATTTGATATAAATATATATATATACTCATCACAACTTCATAACGCCACAACTTCATAACAAACGTATATACATCTTCGTCCACTATGATTGGGTTTCCACGTAGCCAAATAGCCTCGGGCAAAAACATCCACCTGCATCCTAGAAGTCCTATAGTCTCCTACAACACCATCAGCGCGACCCAAATGGAGACACCCGCCGAGAGCCCCACCGACCTCACGCCAATTGGATCACCCAGTTTGTCAACTCAGCACAGGCTTTCCCTGGCTGCATTGCAAGCACACGAGGCACACCGTCGACGTGATAACGCATCGCTTAATCACGATCACATCTACTTTGGACACTCGGTCGCACACTACGTGCCTGTTCCGCTGGCTGACGAGGATAGAGACGGCGATATCATGGAGAAGGCCTTGCCCCGGGTAGCCTAAGATGTAGGACTATCAGCTCGCAAGTGCTCACGTGTTATCCACATGTCATTTCCTGGGGTACCACCGCCTCTGCTCAGCTGTCAACACGTTCTTCGCTTCCAGTAAACTGCGCCTTACCGGTAGATGGGGCTTGCCAAGACCCGATGGATAGCCGCATGCCTGTGGATTTCTGGTTCGTCGATGTAGAAAGCAATGATTGTTGGCATGTGAGTGCAAGCATAATTTGGTGCTTAACGAAATGACAAACAGTCGGCGGATGTTGTCCCACGGCATCTTTCTACGGGAAGCCTGTATCGAAGTATGGGAAACTAATGCGACAATGCGACCAATACTGCGCCTGGCTTTCTAGCGGACACACGGACCTGGTGTCATACCGGGTTGGCACTTACAGCGTGATGGAGGTTCGTGTGGAGGTAAAATGCAATTGTGTTACAGGTGACCTGTGAACGACCGGTATATTGCAATGGAGGGTACTTATCATCACCGATCAATCTGTCAGAAGGTCTAAAGTTCTAAGTTCTAAGTTCCAGAACCGACTTTTAAGTAGTAGATTCAGGAACACTTATTTGCATGAATTATTTAGGAGTACTTATTTACATATGAGGATGGTCTGCATCCCGCTCCTGTTCACCGTGAAGGTTCTAAAGTCGAATCTCATGAGTGCATCGAGAATTATAATATATTAATAATCAAAACGGCACTATATTTGCTAAGATCTAAAACGGCAACACTGGAGAGCTGAAACTCAATTCTGCCTGGTGTGGCCGTATATTATATCATATTTCGCTTAAGCTCCTCTACTTTACGAAGGAAATAAACGGAAATATAACACATAAGTTGAAGTGGCAATCACTTGTGAAGTAGCACGTATTGTACGATCGTTTCCTGTCCTCAGGCTTCCTAATTACTATAAGTGTGCGGCCGGCATTAACTGTTGTGGTTCTGCTGTTCCCAAGATTCATGTAAAGCACCCCAGCTCCATTCAGTCACCCCCTTTGACATATATTTTTCTTTTTTACCAGCAACAGAGTCGAGCACGGGCAATCGATAGTATACCATCTTAACCTTTCTGTCACCAGGAACAGAGTTGAGCACAGGCAATCGATAGGATACCATCTTAACCTTTCTCTGTCACCAGGAACAGAGTTGAGCACGGGCAATCGATAGTATATCATCTTAACCTTTCTCTGTCACCAGTAACAGAGTTGAGCACGGGCAATCGATAGGATACCATCTTAACCTTTCTCTGTCACCAGGAACAGAGTTGAGCACGGGCAATCGATAGGATACCATCTTAACCTTCCTTTGTCACTAGGAACAGAGTTGAGGACGAGCAACCGATGGGATACCATCTTAACCTTTCTCTGTCACCAGGAAATAATTGAGCACGAGCATTCGGTAGGATACTGTCTCAACCTTTCTCTGTCACTGGCAACAAAATCTGGCCTTTCTCTGTACAGTTATTGATTACGACATGGTCTGTACTTTCTGAGCGTTGTATGTTTCCGTTTGATATGCTGTCTTGAATGTATATCGAAATGTCTATACTTCCCTAGTTGAAGAGATTTGTAAAAGTTACCGGGTGGAGGTGAATCAAAACTCACCAAGCACCAAATGACGATTAGCTATAATCACTTTATTGTTTCCACGTACTCCAAGTGTCTAAAGTGTATTCTAATTGTTTGACAATCGCTTCGGCGGTGGGAAAATCGCTACTTTCGGGGTTGAAGGCTCCACTTGCGTCTGAGCCCCCGAACAGGCCGATAATCTTGGAAAACACTACCGATTCATCTCTACAAGCAACAAAAAAAAAGTATAATAAGGTGATAGTAAGCATGTCAAAATACAACGAAACCAAAAAAGCAACAGCGAGTGAGTGATTCATATGTACCATGACTGCCCATGCACTATAAATTTACTGCTCTCTTGTGATGAGTATTGTCGGTGTGTGTCGGATGCAGTGTTCAATATGCGCATTCTAAACGAATTGCACGCTCGCGCAGCCTGAGCCGACCTTAGATACATTCATACGCGGCTATATACGCTACTAACCAATTGTACAAGGAGTAGTGGAGGACTATAGTCGAGCAGCGACAGTGTATGGGAAAAGCTCAACCAGGGTGCGTCATCAAGTATCGAGCTCTGTAACATGTACTTACTACGAACGCACATATATCTGCAGGCAAGTAGTGCACACATTATAGGGTAGTGTAACCAGACAGGGTGGGTGGCTGACTATTTATACGAATGAGAAACAATAGATACCTGGCCACCCCGCCTCTCTCGCGAATTTGGGTTTCGAGCTCCGTCGATTTCTTTGCAGCCAATCGGAGTATTTCGTTGGGCAAATCCGCGAGTCTTGCCACATTTAACCCTGTAATATGGATATAGGTAAGCTTGTATGAGTTGTACTGGGAAATTACCTAGCAAGGATATATTGAACGATAGAGCTAACATCAGAATAAAGATGAGAAAGGGCATCTCAGTGACGTCCGTCAACCATCCATACATAGTTCACACACGGTTATAAGATAGTAAACAATAGGTGCTTGCGCAAAGCACAGTGCGCAGTCATGCCATACACCAGTTTTTAAAACAGTACACACACACATATATATATATACACACACACACACACACACACATATATATATATATATATATATACATATATATATATATATATATATATATATATATATACATATACTATATATATACATATACATATACATATACATATATATATATATATATATAGGTATATGGACACTTGTGAATGTATGACACTGTCACATACCGTAGCTTCTGTTCGCCACACCGCGCGCGAGTGTGTACAGGAATGTGATTGCGTGCTCTGACGCCCCGCTGTCGTTTGTTGTTTCCCTGTGATGGTGAACAGAGGTGAAAGAGACCCACTTAATGTCTCATCAAATATATTGATGTATATATGATATCATGCATCGGTACCAGCCTTCCAATTGCAATAACCCTAAAATATTGCTGCATAGCCAACAATCCATCTTAATATCAAGTGTTTTGAATAACTATGAAAACGATATAATAGATCGTAGGTACTACAGAGCAGTTGCAGGTATATAAATCAGACATACTCTTCAAAGAAGTCCATGTAGTGATTAGAAACCGCGGTCGGATAGTTGATTTCCAGCTGAGACAGCAACGGATAGTGCGTGGCAAACAGCACAGCACAGCCCACCTGTGAGATACGAACAAAGTCTGTGAGAACTAGTCGATGGAAATGAACCAACAATAGCCACAGAGACATCCAATGTATTGGTGTTCTGTAGTGAAATTAATTAATTTATGAGTGTTATGAAGTGGCAATGTACAAACAGTTCTGAGAGAAGACATCTTAATGTACGAGTTCTGCGAAGTATGGGATTGGTAAAGTGAAATAGCCATGGAAATATGATTTCAGCAATATGCATTCGATGGGCAGCCATCCCAATGTAGGGTTTGTCGCGTGAAAACAGCATATAAATTCTTAGGTACGTGACTTGATACTTACGTGAAAATAGGACGAGAAGAGCCACAGCGAAAGACATGGCATGGCAACAGGTGCATACGGCAGTCGATGAGATCGAACGGAGAAAGTGTAGACATTCTAGCAGTCGACACACATGTACAATGACAAAACAGAGATGTTCCAGATGGATGAAAACGCATATCAATGTCGGCAATTGGGATGCGGCATATTGAAAACCCCCAACACGCGGACACAACACTCAGATGTGGATAATTAGTTCATGGCACACATACGTCGGCAATGAGGCTTTGGGATGTGGCGTAAGCAATGGCCACACCGTCGTGTGTGGAGGTACCTCTGCCCAGCTCATCCACCAGCACAAGTGAACGAGACGTAGCCTTCGTAAGGATCTCAGCAGTATCCTGAGACAGTATATGCCAGGATAAAAAAAAATAGAAGTGAATACACTAATATAGTTTATTTCATTTTTAGGTGATTGGGGGAGGGGGAATTGGATTGGAGATAAGTTTGAAAATACACTACAGAGTTTACATGGTGCGAGACACATTGGGAAAGTGTAGTTTGCACTGCTTGCTTAAAAGGCGTAGAGTTAAAAAAGCTGCTTGAAGTAGAGACACATATCTCTACGTTCACAGATCGCAATTCATATACACAGATCGACATGTATACACGGACCTCCATATCATATACAGTTTCTAGCTACACGATAAAGTGCAATGACCATATCATCATAGTACACGACAGACCAAACTCAATTGTAAAAATAGTTCGTACGCTACACACCTGCAGTTCGACCATGAATGTGCTGACACCTTTGTCTATGTAGTCGCAGGCCCCCATTCGCGTGTGTACTGCATCGAACGGACACAGTTCGCAACTTTCCGCCGGTACATATGATCCTGTATGAGGATTTTAAGGGTTTAATGTTGGCAGACTTGTCACAGCGGCGATGAAAATTAAAGTTTTAAACGAAGCAATTATCCCGTGGTTGTTCGCGATGCTCAAGCTCAGTGCCATTCTTCAGACAATTAAAGACATCACACATATGTGCCAGTGTCAACAGAGGTCACTACTTTAAAATAGATTAATCTCAGGGGTTCGTTCATTGTGGTGGCTTTTTACCATAAATAACAGTTTATTGACGGGTTCCACAATTATCACGCAATATAGATTTCAGTACTTCTCAAATATCACAAGCTTTCTTGTTATGCTCCATTGCTACTCACCCATCAACAGGTGCACAAATGCTGGCTATACACTCCAGATGAAATATCGACCAAAACAACTCACATTTAAACTATAGTATAAATTGAATAGTAGTGCATGATCGCATAT